TTCATATATAAAAATTCCATGAGAATTGCTATCCATATTCTTATCCATTTATTATTATAATAATAATTTATTATTCAAAGATTTCTTATCAAGTCGAGGATCCATTCATTCAAAATAATTATAATTATTATTTCAATATGCCAGTAATAAACAAATAATATAATTGTTTTCGCAGTGTTAGAAATGATTTATTATGTTCTTACTATTCTTCACATTCATATTTTTATATTTTTATATTGTTCTTCATATATCATATACTGTTAATATAATAAAACAATATGAATATGAATTTGAAGTTGAATATGAATTCTTATCATATTCAAAGTAAATAATTCAAAATATATTCAAAGCAAATAAGATAATAGACTCGTTATATTCTTCTCTAAAAAAATATTTAACGAACAGGATAAATCGAATTTTATTTCTTTGTTTTTCCTTTTCTTTAGAAATGATTAACGAATGTTGGAATAATGTAAATTTTATTTCTTCGTTTTTTTTTCATTTCTTAGAATATATGATCGATGCAATTATAAACGTATAAGTAGTTACAAGAAAGGTCGTTACACTGAAATATAATTTTCCTTTTTGCAATATAATAATTCAGCATGTAATATTAATACACAGTATAAACAACTCACAGTATATTTTAACATGATGAATATGACGAAGAAAATTTATATTCAAAATTGAAATAAATATTCAGAATTTTATTTGAAATTATAATTTGTATACATAATCGACATCTTAAGATGACAAACATATTTCTTATTTCTCATTAATTCACGTAAATGAATTAAAAAAAAAAAAAAAAAAAAGAATAGTTCACAATCAAGTATACAAATAGAATCGTTAATAAAAAAAGTGCAAAATATATATAGTTAAAATATATTCGTTTTAGAAAGTACATATTATTGTAATCGTTGAAACATTGTGAGATAGTGGAAGAAAAACAAGTGAATATAGAATATATACTTATATATGTACATTTTATTACTACATAAATATTCGAACAAAATATTTTGCTGACTATTATTCATCAATTTTCTAAATATTCATGAAATATGATTTCACGAGAAGATTAACAATATCGATTATAAACTTTTTCTCGATGATCGCATCAACATTATTAAA